ACTAATTTCACTCAAAGCTACACACTTATGAATATGACCCTAAACAGCACACTACAGGCTTTGAGAACTGAATTGTGGGATATTTCAAGTTACAGAGAGAACACTGGGTGGCAGGACACTTTGAAAATGGAACTGATACTGAAACAAATCCCACACAAAGCTAACAGGAACTTGCAGCTTGAACCCAATCAGGTCAATTGCCTGGTAAAACAAAAATGTTAACCTTTGCTATAAGATTTAAACAAGACCAAGAGACATAATATCCAAAAAGTCTGGAATATAATACAAAACAACAGCATATGAAAAACCAAGACAATCTCCATTTGTATAAGAAAGGACAATCAATATACACTAGCACTGAGATGATACAGATGTGAAATTAATTGATGAAAATATAAAAATGGTTCTTCTTTTTATTGCATTTTAGGTTTTGGGGTACAACAATCTTGCATGTTCATCACATGTACCCCAAAACATAAAAATGGTTCTTTTAAAAATGCCCTTACCAGTAATAGAAAATATTCCTGAAATGAAGAAAATAATAGAAAGGCTCAGGAAAAAAACAAGATATAAATAACAAAATGGAAAATTTAGAACTGAAAAATGCAATAACCAGTATTTTAAAAAGCATCAGACTCAATAGCAGAATAGAAATGACAATTAAAAAGTCTATGAACTTGAAGACAGATCAATAGAAATTATCCAATCTAAACAACTGGAAGGAAAAAACTTAAACTTAATTGAATCTCAGGGAACTGTGGGACAATAATGTCTAGCCTTTGTATCATCAGAGTCCCAGAATAAAAGAAAGGGTACAGGTATAAAAATACATTTGAAGAACAAATGGCTGAAAATATCCCAATTTTGACACAGACATAAATCTAAGGATCCAAGAAACTCAGTGAACCCTAAACAGGATAAACTCAAAGAAATCTATATCTAAACACATCATGATAAAACTGCTACAAATAAAAGACAGAGTCTTGAAAGCCACCAGAGAAAAGCAACACTTACTTATAAAGGGAAAATTCAAATTACAGCAGATTTCTCATTAGAAGCCATGAAAGCCAAAAGGAAGTGGGACCACATTTTATTACTGCTTAAAGAAAATTGGCCAGGCACAGTGGCTTACCCCTGTAATCCCAGCACTTTGGGAGGCCAAGGCAGGTGGATTACCTGAGGTCAGGAGTTCAAGACCAGCCTGGCCAATGTGGTGAAACATTGTCTCTACGAAAAATTTAAAAATTAGCCAGGCGTGGTAACATGCACCCATAGTCTCAGCTGCTCAGGAGGCTGAGGCAGGAGAATCGCTTGAAGCTGGGAGGCAGGGGTTGCAGTAAACTGAGATGGTGCCACTGCATTCTACCCTGGGTGACAGAGTAAGATTTGGTCTCAAAAAAATAATAATTAACTCAGATTTCTACAAACATGCTGGGAATTTTTCACTGGGGTTGCATGGAATCCAAAAATCAATTTGAGGAGAAAGAAACATCTTAATAATATAGACTCTTTCAATCCATAAATATGGTATATCTATTTATTTCGTTCTAAAATTTCTCAGCAGAAATTCAAACCATCATCAGAGATTATTACAAACAACTCTATGCACATAAACTAGTAAACCTGGAAGAAATGGATAAATTCCTGGACACTTGCAACCTCCCAAGCCTAAACCAGGAAGAAGTTGAAACCCTGAATAGACCAATAACAAGGGCAGAAGTTGAGGCAGCAATTAAGAGCCTACCACCCAAAAAACGCTCAGGTCCAGATGGGTTCACAGCCAAATTCTACCAGACATACAAAGAGGAGCTGGTACCATTCCTTCTGAAACTATTCCAAATAATCCAAAAAGAGGGAATCCTTCCCAAATCATTTTATGAGACCAACATCATGCTGATACCAAAACCCAGCAGAGACTCAACAAGAAAAGAAAACTTCAGGCCAATATCCATGATGAACATAGATGCAAAAATCTTTTCAATAAAATTTCTCAGCAATGTTTTATAGTTTGTCATATAAAGATCTTGTACATATTTTGTTTAAAGGATCCCTAAGTATTTTATATTTATATGCTGTTGTACATGATATTGTAATCCTATTTTCAATTCAATATGATTTGTTGTTAGTTCTTAGATATACAATTGATTTTATGTATTAACTTTGTATTCTTCAACTTTTATATTCATTTGGAAGTTCTAGTAGTTATTTCTAGCAGATTTCTTAGGATTTTCTATGTACACAATCAAGTCATCAAATAAGGACATTTAGGTCTCCCTTTCAAATTTGTGTGCTTTTAATTTTATTCCCTGTACCACTTAACTGACTAGGACCTCCCTTACAATGTTAAACAAAGAATGATAAAAGTCAGCATCCTTGCCTGTGCTCAGTCATCTTAGTTCATTAAGGATAACGTTAGTTATACTTTTTCTGTAGACATCATTTATTTGTTTGAGAATGTTTCCTTCTAGTCCTAGTTAGCTTAGACTTTATATCATAAATGCAAACTTGAGAATAAGAGATAAACATAGTAAAAAAATAAAAAAACATTTTGTCTTCTAAATCTATCAAGGTGCTATATTGCTTTCTTCCTTTTATTTCTAATATTATTTCATTGTACTCCTGGGATATAAACTTCATCATGATGTATTAGCCATTGTATAATTTGTTGATTGTCTCTTCCTCTTCTACTTTTTTCCTCTCCTGGCATAAATACGGTACGTATATATTGGTGAGAGGAATTTTACCTGGAAGATAAAACTAGTATGCGTCTAATAACATAAAGATGTATATAGATCTGGAAGGAAAAATTGATACCCTCCATTATACTTATTTCAGTAATTTATTAGGTCAAACACACACAAAAAAATAAAGGTATATTTTTGAATAGCAGAATTAACAAGCTCAACTCATAAAGATTACACCCAATATGAAAACATACTCATTTCAAGCATGCATGGAATATTTATGGAGTTTGCCTTGTGCTAGGCCATAAAGGCTAGGCTTAAGAAATTTCAAAAGGCTAGTATCGTATAGGCATGGGCAAGAGGATTTCAACTGTGGGACTAACTAGGAACGCAAAGACCATAAACTCCATATAACATGATGGAAAGTAGAGGGAGGAGTTGGTGTGAGGGAAGTGAGAGGTTAGTGGGAGAATAAGCTGAAGAGTTGGTAGAACCAGGAGCTACTTCACAGGAAGCAGGGAGCTATAGGAAGATCCTAGGCCTTAAAGAATGATAAACTTGGGAATGCCTGGTCTCTTGACTTACTAGATGTGTGATAGAATAAATTGCTTAACTTTTTCTGTTCTTCATGTATTAAGTATGGACAGTATTGCCTGTCTCACAGACTTAATAAGAATTGAGCAACATTTATTAAGTTGTTAATGTAGCACACTGGATGGAGAATCTTGGCTTCTGTGATGATAACTAGGGTCCCATTAAGGAAATCTCTTGCAGACACTCAGCAGTACAGCCAGTAGGCAGGCAGACAGGAGGAAGGTGGACAAATTGCTGCTCTTGCAGACTTTCAATATGGAAGGCAACTTCCCAGTTGGCTCCCAGGTTGGATCTCTACCAATGGGAAATCACACCTTTGTGTAGTCCCAACCTTGTTACACCAGGGGTGGTCTGTGTGGCCAGTAGCATATGACAGCGTTCTTGGTTTTGCTTCATTTGGGATTCTGAAAAAGCTGGCTCTGTGTATATGTGGCACTAAGCAATATAATAAAATTATTTAAAATATATTGCACCAAGTTATTTAAATCAAATCTGTTGAAAGCATTATTCACACCCTCTCCATATTGCTTCTAATCTTTATAATCCTTTTATCCCCTGCAATTCAGCTCAAATATGGCGACTTTCATTAAACTCTGTTCAATTACCCTACCCCTGCCCCACAGTCAATAGAAATTAATAACATCTCCCTCTGCTTCCTGCTGCACTGTTTCTGCTGCACTGTTTCTGCCACATGGATAGCAATTACCACACCATACCTTACCTTTTAGACACATTTGTATTTTTTTCACCCAAATAAAAAAGCCATTCCCATAACTAGGTCCTACATCAGTTTTCTCTGGGTTCCCAGCCCCACTCTCCTGCTGCTCCCCTCCCTGCCTCCAGAGAGTTTAGCAAAATGCTTGTCTACAAACAGTGTCCCTAATTGTTGGCTTAACACTTGTCTTTTAAGACAAATGGCTAGAAATTCCGACTCCAGCCTATCCAGTTTTAAGCTAAACAGCTAGTGTGGCTCATAAGAGCAAGTGGCCTAAAAGGGTCTTGCACTGGCTACTGTGTTGTATAATCAAGAAAATAGAGGTTTTCCATAAGTACCTTGGATAGGCCTCCATCTTCAAGGACCTCTGAGATGCTGACATGTTTGTAAATTCCAATGCAACCACTTAATATTACTTATATTCATTTATGGAACTTGACCATTATTAAATAGGCTGTGATGGAATTATTTCACAGTTTTAAATTAGATTTCACATAATATAGTATTAAAAACTTTTGGAAATATTATTAACATCAGTGTGAAAGAGAAATTCAAGTACTTTTATCTTACATGAGATATTTTGCTCAGTGTAGAGATATTAATTAGGGGAGAATAGCTTCGAGGTTATCACCACCAAGTAATAAGTGTGAGGGTGAAGCATGAGTCAGGGTTTTGACAGTAGGTTAAATGTGACTCAAAAAAGAAAAGAGATGACTAACCCTACACAATGTGTACAGCTTCCTGCTAATGCAGACGGTCCTCTAAACACAGCTACCCAAATGTATCCCACAGACACTGTTCACTAGCAAGCATGTGTGACTTCTAGGCCCACATGCTAGAAAACCACCACTTTATAGAGTTTCATAACTGAAAATATATTTTCATCGAAACAACAAAGCAAAGGGGATAACCAGCGACCAGAAAAGCTAACTTAGGTGAATGGTGCAACTCAAAGGTCTTTCCGAGGAAAGCTCAGTCCTCGCTCGCGAGAATCAGCCTTGGCTCACCTCGTAACGGGGCTTCGAGTTAAGGCGTCAAGGAAGCAGTACCACTGCTTCTCGCAGTCAGCGAGACCACAAGGCAGATGCCTGCTGCTGTCCTGTCTCCTTGTCTACTTTCTCATCTCAGTGTCATAAGAGAGCCCTGTACTAGTCCCTGAGTAACAGAGCAGCTGTCATGAGCACAGGCTCATTTTATCTGAGAACATTCTTGTCTTTGAGAGAAATGAGAATATGACAAAGAAAACTAAACAGCAGCAGGCCTAGCCTCAGCAGCCTTTCTGAGTGATGTCTAGTCCCGAGGATTTTGTGATTTCCAAAGTCGTGAACACCTGTTCAAGAGGAAGAAAACAAATAAATATTTAGAAGTTAGCAGTGTTAAGAAAACACATTCTGAATATTATATTTATGCAATTCTTTAAAATATACAAATCTGGCCAGCATGGTGGCTCATGCCTATAATCCCATCACTTTGAGAGGCCAAGATGGGCAGATCACTTGAGGTCAGGAGTTTGAGACCAGCCTGGCCAACATGGTGGAAAGCCGTCTCTACTAAAAATACAAAAATTAGCCAGGCATGGTGGTGCACACCTGAAGTCCAGCTTCTCAGGAGTCTGAAGCAGAAGAATCACTTGAACCCAGGAGGTGGAGGCTGTAGTGAGCCAAGATCATACCACTGCACTCCAGCCTGGGTAACAGTGAGACCCTGTCTCAAAAAGTAAAATAAAATAAATTAAAAATAAAATATACAAATCAGTTACTAACATGACGTCTTTCTGACAAGTGATTTATAATAGTTTTTCACACTATATCAACTGAAGCCAATTTTGAAAACATCTTGTTTCCTACCTCCCCACATGTGGGGTGAATTCCAATGGTGTCATCAAGTAGCTGTTTAGTGAGTCCACATTTCATTGCAGCTGCAAATCCTTGGGTAACCTCACCGGCATTTGGTCCAAGAATATGAAACCCTATCACCCGATCCTTTAATACAAAAACAAAACAAAGAGAATCCCAGTAGGTTAATGGTCTGAATACGAATCCATTCACTGCAAGTTCACAGTTAAAATATACAGCATCTACTACAGAAAAAGAACTTCAATGTCAAGTGAGCAGAGAACATTACCATGAAACTGTGAGCCACTGTAGTTAAAGGAGCCAGTAAATGCACATCCAGAGTTAATTTGCACTCAAATTTACTAGAACAAGCAATTTACCCACTGCATGAAGGAGTTCATTAGTATGATGTAAATTTCCAAATTATGCTGAGACAATGCTCAACAACAACATAACAAATCTGAATTAAAGTCCAACACTGGAATAACTCTAAGGCAGCAGGTTTTACTGGAAATCAGAGGTTGCTGGCCCAGGAAGCAAGGCACCCTGCTCCCAACATCAAGTGGAGACAAAGGAGAGGCTGGTGCAGGGCTGTCACCCAGGGCTGTGTGCTGAGAGATACAGGGTGCAGGCAATGAGCAGACCCACCAAGATGGGAAGCAAGATGTGCAGTCGCTTTCCATGGTAATAGTGCATTCTAGGCTGTCCATTTGTCAATGTTCCTTTCTCAGACTATTCTTCATTGTGATATTCAACAGTAAAAGCATACAAGAGATGAAGAGAAACACTATAAAAGGGCAACGGAGGCCAGCGCCAGGAAAAATCCTTGCCCCCTGAGCTTCTGGAGGAGGCAACAGCTCAGAACAGCCACACTCATCTGCATCTGCTGGTGAGCACTTCAGAGGGGAAGCAGGCAGACGCTGCCTGGGCTGGGGCTTCTGAGTGAGTTCCCAGGGCCCATAGAAGACTACTGTGTTGAAACCTGAGGTGGTACATTGCTCAGCAAGCAGAAAAGGAGGGCAGCTCAGAGCAAAGTAAGGACACTTGATGAGAATTTCCACTGAAAATTAAGGTCCTGAGTGAAGGAGTCTCATTCACAATTCTGACTCCAGAACTAGAGTCCAGCATTTCCATTTTGTAAGTTTGAGGGTGCTACTCAAGAAACAGGCATGTGGCCAGGTTAAAGGGAAGGGGCACATGCTTCCCTTGCTCTCTAACCCTTGCTCTCTAACCTTGCTCCCATGGTTAGAGAGCAAGGCCAAGAGTGTGGCCTGGGAACCTGGGTGGGGTCCAGAGGGGTAGTGTGGGATGGCGCAGAGGGGCTCAGTGACGGGAAACGGGGCTGACAGCCACAGAAGTGTAGCCCACAACCCCATGAGGAGGTCAGAACTAGCATGACAGCTGCAACTCCTGCTTCAGCTGTGGCTCTCCCATCAAAGCCCACACTCTCACTTTCAGAGGGTAATACTGTATACAGTCTTTCTCTGCTCCCTTTGGAAAGGCTGCCCAAACTGTCATAAATTGACCTGAGATAACTCTGTCCCAAAGAAACAGGATGTAATCCAGCACATGAGCACCCACTCTCGGAAGCACAGCTGCAAACCTGCCCAACCTGGAGCATTTCAGAGCTATTATGACCACCATCCCTGTCACTGCCCTGTAGCCCATGTGCAACTACTAAGGGACTAAGCCCTAGAGCTGTGGATGGCTTCACCATTCAGGCAACAGAGCACACGCTAATGGGCTACTAGCCTGGGACACGCTGTTTTCTGTTATACTGAGAATAAGACAAATACAGAGATGTGGGAATTAATCAAGATCATGACTGCTGCTCAGTAAACTTTGATGTAAATGCCACTTGTTGCTGTTCACATTTATCTATTTTTATGTTTCATCTCCCCAGACAGATGATAAACTCTTCAAGAGAAGAACCAAGTCAGAACACTGCTTTCTACATTCAGAATTCTTTATAAAGCAAATTATAAATAAGCTGTGCTTTAAACTAGGAAGGCTGTTAACCATTTTGATGCTCACCCCTCATAACCAGGAGGAGGAAAGCCTCCGATGATGGGCTGCTGCTTTAGTGAAAGCATCAGCAATTAGCTCAGTAAGTCGAGTTTCACTTTGTGTGAACATCTCCATCTAAAGAGTTTAGACACACATTCAGTCTGTTTATAAAATGCACACATACAACTTACAATTTATTATTTGATGACCAAAATTTTCATAGATCTTCTAGTTCTAAACTATCAAGTTTAAACTATCAAGCTATCAAGATGGCCCTGGGAAGAGGCAGCTTTCAGTGGTATACTTTGAGAGGACACTGGTAAGGCTCAATTACAAACTGTTACTGCTCAACCTCTGTGACATGTTGACTAGATGACAACATGGAGGCACTCTGCATTGTCCTGAAAACTATCTTTAAAAGGTTATAAAAATGCAGCAGTCCCAGCTGCTCAGGAGGCTGAAGCAGGAGGGTCACTTGAGGCCAGGAGTTGGAGACCAGCCTGGGCAACATGGCAAGATCCCGACTCCACACACACACATAAATATATGTGTATATATATGTACATATATATATAAAATATATATTTTATATATATGTATATATATATGTATGTATATATATGTGTGTATATATATATAAAATATGTATTTTTTTTTGGTATTTGGATTTATATATATAATTTATATGTATATAAATCCAAATGCTAAAAATAAAAGCTACATTTAAAAATCACAGCATTTTGGCTTCTAGTGGCATTACATACATGGTCAAATTTATTGCAGATTATCTTTGCGTAACAAGTGTTGTTCTCTCTGCCAGCTACTGTCCATTCAAGAGGCCAGAACAAAGTATGATATATCTGGAAGATAAGAGAGAGAAAAAGGGCAGGATTAATGTATATGGAAACGATTCCTTGATAGGCTCTTTAATTCTATAAAGGCAATAATCTCCATAGCAGCTTTCGGAAATTTAAAGTTCAGTAACCCCACCTTTACGTATCTGTTGGGGCATAGGCCAAGGCTCCTGAAATGCCAGCTGCATACATGTGTTGACCTTTGTTGTGCATGCTTGGCTGTTAGTCCAAACAAAAATCCATATACAAAATTTAGTTTTCAAACATGTATAGAACATCAGCAACCCAAGGCAGCACACTAGGCACAGGCCCTTATGTGGGCTGCAGAGATGAAGGCTGAGATTCTGACGTCAACAGCTGACCCCGATAACAGGGCTCACGTTCCAGCAAATTTGAGGAGGAGAGGAAGTAAAATAGCTCCAGCCATTTAGAGCTCCAGAACCGGGGCCGGGCGCAGTGGCTCAAGCCTGTAATCCTAGCACTTTGGGAGGCCGAGACGGGTGGATCACGAGGTCAAGAGATCGAGACCATCCCGGTCAACATAGTGAAACCCTGTCTCTACTAAAAATACAAAAAATTAGCTGGGCATGGTGGCACGTGCCTGTAATCCCAGCCACTCAGGAGGCTGAGGCAGGAGAATTGCCTGAACCCAGGAGGCGGAGGTTGCGGTGAGCCGAGATTGCGCCATTGCATTCCAGCCTGGGTGACAAGAGCAAAACTCCGTCTCAAAAAAAAAAAAAAAAAAAAAAAAAAAAGAGCTCCAGAACCTAGCGATAGGAGAGCAGGGATCACGTCTCTCTCATTTCTGTCCCCAAGCCCTCATGCCAGTGCCTTGAGTGTACCTCTATGCCTCTTCAATCTGGCACAGTCTTCTAAGAACCAGAACAAAATGCCATGTGCCCTTTCTCCAGCTTGGGGTGGCTGCGGTCTCCCAGTCTTGCACCTCTGAATCAATCCATACACAAACGGGCAGTTAATGTTGGAAGAACAGAATTGGAAATGTACTCCACAATGGATGGATTTAAATTTAAAAATACCACCCAGAAATAACCATTTTAAATGTTAGGGAAAAGCATCAATTGCTGGTGCATGCAAGAGTTAAAACAACATTTTTATGAAGGAGGTAACATAGTATACAGTTATTTGTAGCAAAAAAAAAAAAAAAAAAAAAAAAGATTTAACTTGTTTTTAACAGAAGAGAAACTCTTCTACTCTTTTTTTCTTTTTTGAGACAGGGTCTCACTTTGTCACCCAGGCTGGAGTACAGTGGTACGATCATGGATCACTGCAGCCTTGACTGCCCAGGATCCAGCAATCCTCCTGCCTTAGTCCCCAAGCAGCTGGGACTATAGGTGTGCATCTCCATGCCCGGCTAATTTTTGTATTTTTTGTAGAGATTGGGTGTCACCATGTTGCCCAGGCTGCTCTGGAACCCCTGAGCTCAAGTGATCCACTTGCCTCAGACTCCCAAAATGCTGGGATTACAGGTATGAGCTACCATCCCCCACTACTTGTACCTATTTTAATACAAACTTTTTAATCTCTGCAGCTATCAGAAACAGGAATGTTTGTTTATCTCAAGATACGCTTTTCTAAAAACACACCCCTAAGGTTAAAAAGAGATGGTACAAACTCTTACCAGGTTTTAAGCATGATTCTTAGAACAGCAAGCTACTATTTCTGATGCGTTCTATCACTTCTGCTATGAATGAAGGAGGTGAACACTCACACTTCCTCCTATCTCCTTTCACTCTTTCACTGGTTTTGTCAAATGTGCTTTTTTCCTTCTAACACTTTGAAGATTTTACTATATTTAAGTTTCTAACCCTCTGGTTCAAAGTGGGTGTGAAGTGTGGATCCAACTTCCAACTTTATATTTTTCCTTAATAGCTATCCACTTATTCCAGCACCCTTTAATGGATGGCCTGTGCTTTCCCATGGTTTTAAAATATGACCTGTATCATAAATTCTTATGAGCATTTAAATCCATTTCTGGGTTTCACATTCTGTTCTACTGATCTCGCTGTGTCCATCTGTGTGCCACTGCTGCACAACTGTAAGTACTGCAGCCATGTGATCAAGTTTCGTATCTAATTAGGGCTCCCCTCATTACTCTTGAAGTTTTTTTTTTTTTTTGTTTTTTTTTTTTTAATCAACCTATGCACAATTACAGACATAATATTCAAAGCTCTGCTATGGAAAACAGTGATCTCTGACCCCACCCATTTCAATGAACCCAGAGGCCACAACTTTCATCTCTTTTATTTAATTGGCTATTTAACTCTATGTTTCTAAATAACATGCTTATTTGCTACTGCCTGCCTTTTCTATTTCAGGCTTTATTTATTGACTTGGCTCTATGCAAGAGCAAGATGAGCTCTCTTCCCTGGCCCCCTGACACTCACTCTAGCTCCTTTCTGCCCTCCCCTATCACCATCTTCCCAATACAGTTATACTCCTAGCTATCATAGTTACAAGTGTTTCCTTTACTACATAAAAGCTATTCATGGACAACTTGAAAGCTACAAGCAAAGGATGAAGCTGCACTCTTAGCTCACAACACAGACAGACATTAACTCAAAATAGATCACAGACCTAAATGCACTTACACTTTCTCCCATCTCTACTCATGCATTGCACGTGTTGCAAAACAATGCTGGTCTACAATGACAGCATATACAACTGTGGTCCCACAACATTAAAATGGAGCTGAAAAATTCCTGCCACCTAGTAACATTGTAGCCATTGTAACATCATCATGCAAGCAACACATTACTCACTGTTTGTGGTGATTCTGGTGTAAACAAACCTACTGCACTGCCAGTCCCTAACAGTCTAGCACATATAATCATGTACAGTACATAATACTTGATAAGGATAATACATGTAATATGACTATGATACTAATTTATTTATTATACTATATATTCTATATATTCTATTATTATTTTAGAGGGTACTCCTTCAACTTATTAACTGTGAAACTGCCTCAGGCAGGTCCTTCAGGAGGTATCCAGAAGAAGGCATTGTCATCATTGGAGGTGACAGTTCCCTGTGTGTTACTGCCCCTGGGACAGGATGTGGTGGGAGAAGACAGTGATATTGATGTTTCTGACCTTGTGTAGGCATAGGCTAATGTGTGTGTTTGTGTCTTCATTTTTTATAAACAAGTAAAAAAAGTTAATAGAAAAAGCTTATAGAATAAGGATATAAAGAAAGAAAACATTTTGTACAGTTGTACAACGTATTTGTTTCTCTACAACAGGAGCTTAAAAAAATACTAACATCACATTTTCATTCCTGTCAAAAAATAAATCAGGTGAGTTGATCTACAGCAAACCTCGGGGAAAAGATCTTAAAGCAATCCCAAAAACTTGGGGAATTTATTTCCTATAAAGATACTCCATTGTCAGGAACAGCCTTCTACATCCTTCCGGTCATGTGCCTGACATCTTTCTACCTTAATTTTTCATTAATTTCAAAAAGTTTTAAAACTAAATGTTAAATCCATGATTATTAACAATTTTCTAAGACCCAAAAGCTGACCAATGCAAACAGCATAGCTTATTATTATATTGAGTTAATTATAAACCCTGATAAAATAACGTTCTCTAAAATGTAAATTTCAAAAACAACCATCTAAAATAACATTATAAAGTTTTAATCATACATTTTCCCAGCACCAGAAATTTAAATAGGAATTTCATAAATCCTTAGGGCATTTAACTAGGGAATATCAACTCTATGATTTAAAGAAATTCCCAATAATAAATTAAATCATACAATTAAAATGGCTTAAAAGGAAAGGACTGTAATTTCAATTCTTTTTTACTTAAAATATCAAGTATTAATAACCCTCCAACTCTTTTCATCTCTCCCTCCTACGCTGGGAAAATGGGCAGAAAAAAGCCAATTAAACTTCCCAGCAAAATATGATGTAAGAAAATATATTTAAGGTTATAACTGGATGGGGTTGGGGGTAAAGGAGAGGTAGCAACAGAGGGGTGTAGAGGATGTCCTTTTGGGAATCTGAAGAGCCCACAGGCAGACAACCCAGGAACTTCACACCTTACCACCCAGAGCCATGCTGATGGGATGGGACTGGCCACTAGGCCTTGGTACATTCCTACCCTTGCATTCCCAAAAGATCTTAAAATAACTTTGGGCTTCCTTGCATAAGTTTGTTCAAATAGATTTTTGTTACTTGTAATTCAAATGTCCTGACTTATAGATTATACTTCCCTCTTTCTCAACCATATTCTTCTTGTTTGCTAGACAGGCAGGGTTTAAATTAATTGCTAATCTTCCTAAAATAGGAATATGATTTCCTACAATATAACCATCATAGTAACTTGCAAAATGATGAAATAAAAAGTGACTGCAAAGACAAACTGTTGATTAAAAGAGATTTTTTAAAGAAAGTAATAAAACACAATCTTACTTCTAGATTCTCTTTTTTATATATTTCAATAGCCTTCTCTTCAGATAATCCACAGCAACCATACTCCAGAGGAGTAAACACCGTAGTTGGAACATTAATATAATCACACTGAAAAATAAATACATTACATAATCTTATTTTGTGATACTTTATAGCAAAAATCTGTATTACATATATTTATAAAAAGAAAATAAATGAGTCCAGTTCAGTGTAACTAATTCTTAAAATGCCAACAGCTTCAGGAAAATTCTAAGGTACATTAACAGAAACCTGGGATGGCTCCCTGACCCAGGGGCAGAGACCACACACTGGCCAGCCACCAACAGATGGGTCGGCTCTCCTGGAGCACAGACTCGGGGGTCCAAAAACCCGAAGCTAGAGGTGGAGGTGGTGCCACCCAGCTGCTCCTAAAGACACTCTCCAAAATGTTTTCTTTCCATGCCCATCATTCTGGGCTCTGCTCTCTTGGCGCACTTCTTCCAGGCAACCTTGAATTATGCTACCTCACTGGAAACTGAGACTACCTCTTGGCCATTTCATATTCCTTATGCCACTGAGAGGCAAGGCAGGTATGCAGCTCAATGGTGCTGAACTGGGTGTTCTTGACTATCAAAGGGGGATGGCACATGTGAGTGTGTGAATACATCTGGGAGAGTGCTAATATACCACAGGGACAAGGATGACCACAGGTCATCTCTGCAGTCCAGGGGTTAAGACAGAACCATCTCCAGAGCCTTTATCAGACTGAGTCAGAGAAGAATGGACATCACAAGAAGACTGTGCACTCCGAAGCTGGCAAGCAGAGCCCCAGCAGCCCTGTAGAGAAGCAAGGTTCACAGGTGGCACTCCTGCCTAGGAGAGGCCTCAACTTGGGAGACAACAGGGCCTCTCTGGCTGTGTGGAAAGGAGCTGGAATACTTTGTTGGTTGAACCATGAAACCATGAAGAGAAAGCTGTGTGTAGGTGGCAGAGGTGCCTTGCCCAGGCACAGCCCCTTCAAAGGACACCACCGCCCATAGCACTGTATGTTTCCCAACCCCTGCCAATGGCCACAAGTGATTAGACTAGGGATAGCCATCTGACCTCACAAACACCAATATATAAGCTGGCCAGAAATCTACAGAATGGCAGAAAAAGGTGAACTGAGTCAATCCAATTCTTTCTTTTGTAGGAAAATTAACTAGAAGCAAAGAGAATTTTCTAGGTGGTAGAGGAACAGGAAGAAATGGACCTGCAAAGTTGTCACCAAGTTAGGCCAAGGAGGAGCACATTTATACAAACACCCCACTATGCTGCTGGGCCCCAGAGCAGCCGGGACTCCAAACGCAGGCAGGCCCAGCCCTAGTAGAGTTCTTTTTCTAGGTTCCTCTGTGATTCTACCTATTAATCCCAGGATTCTTACAGTAACTTCCCTCAATTTGCCTAGTTTGAGTGAACTTCTATTCTTTGTTAACCCAAAGAAAAATAAAACACCACCAGGTATCCCCCAAATCAATGAGAGGATTTACATATAACACAGGCAAGTTCTCCATTAGCCTAGATTCTTATGCTCTCATGACACTTCATGTTTGCCTACCAGCAAATGATGGGTGAGCCAACCATTTATTTTCTTTTCCCAGCATGGCTCAGAAAATCACACAACTATGTGAACTGCCTGGGTATTTTCTGACTTCTGTGAGGCACTCGCAAGTTGTCAATCCATTTATTGACTGGCAGCTGACCCCAGATTCCATACCTTACATGGGAGTCCTCATTCTTCACAGAAGCCTTTGTTTCCTGTTTCATATCAATTAAGAAAAAATAAACAGAAATGGCTCAACTTTGCCCCTTTCTCCTAAAAACCTTCTCCACATCTTAGACCATCTCCTCTACGTGGACTTGACTCATGCTACCCTTCCCATAGGCTTCCTTTCAATCTTGGCCTTTCATCTCTTTCTTTATGCTCTACATATATTGCTCCATATTCTAATCCCTCCTCCTCACAGACACAATGATTAACTTCTTACAGTATCAGGCAACTGCTCAGCCAACACACACCCTAAAATGCTATTTGCACTTGCGATAAGTCCTTGCACATTTAGCATTCCTGGCCTCCAGCCATTAATGCCAGCAGAGCCCCCTCGCCAGTCGACCCTCATGCACCAAATGCACCCACCCACAAGGTCTCCATGCAAGGCCTTGGCAGGTACCTGGGGGATGAAGCAAAGCAGCACATAGCATTCCTCATGAAGAACCTGTGCCCAAAGCTCTTCACCTGAACACACTCATGCAAAAACAATTGGAGAAATTCAGAATGTGGGACATTATGCCAAAAAAAAAAAAAAAAAAAAAAAAAAAACCTGATCCATCAAAAAGTCAGTGTTAAGAACTGGAGCAAGACAAAGATGCTCACTCTCACCAATCTTATTCAACACAATACTAGAAGTCCTAGCCAGAGTAGTCTGGATGAGAAAGAAATAAAAGGCATCCAAACTGGGAAAACAGGAAGTGAAATTGTCCCTCTTTGCAGACAATGTGATTTCATATGTAGAAAAACCTATGAGATTCCACCAAAAACTCTTAGAATTGATACATGAACTCAGTAAAGTTGCAAGATACAAAAATCAACAAACAAAAATCAGTAGTGTTTCTATATACCAATAACAAATTAACTGAAAAAGAAATCAATAAAGCAATTTCATTTACAATAGCTACAAAAAATAAAATATTTAGGGATAAATTTAATCAAGTAGGTTGAACCACTTTACAATGAAAACTGCAAAACACTGGTGAAAGAAACTGAAGACACAAAAATATAGAAAGATATTCCATGCTCATGGACTAGAAGAATTAATATTGTTAAAATGCCTATACTACCCAAAGCAATCTACAGATTCAATGCATTCTATTAAAATAACAATGACATTCTTCACAGTAGTAGAAAAAACAATATTAAAATTTGTATGAAACCACAAAAGATGCTGAATAACCAAAATAATACTAAACAAAAAGAATCAAACTGGAGGCATCATACTACCTGATTTTAAAATATACTACAAGTCATAGTATCCAAAACAGCATGACATTAATATGAAAACAGACACATAGACTATGGAACAGAACCTGGAGCCCAGAAATAAAACCACGTATTTACAGCCAACTAATTTTTGACAAAGGCACCAAGAACATAAACTGGAGAAAGGACACTCTCTTCGGTAAATGGTGGTGGGAAAACAGTATATGTAGAAGAATGAAACTGGACCTCTATATCTCATCACGTGAAAAAAATCAGTTAGAAATGAATTAAAGACTTAAATATAAGGTCCCAAATTATAAAACTACTGGAAGAAAACAGGAGGAATGCTTCTGGGCATTGGTCTAGGCAAAGATTTTATAGGCAAGACCTCAAAAATACAGGCAACAAAATGAAAACAGACAAATGAGACTGTATCCAACTAAAAAGCTTCTGCAATCAGCAAAGAAAGCAATCAACAGAGTAGAGACAACCTGTAAAATGAGAGAAAATATTTGAAAACTATCTATTTGAGAAGTTACTAATATCCCTATATAAGGAACTCAAACAACTCAGAGAAAAAAAAAAATACCCTGATTTAAAAATGGGCAAAGGATCTGAATAGATGTTTTTCACAAGATCTACACATGGACAAGTATAGGAAAAAATGCTCGATATCACTAATCGTCAGGAAAATGTAAATCAAAGCCACAATGAGATACCACAACCCGGTCAGAATGGCTATTATCAAAAAGACAAAAAATAGCAAATGCTGGTGAGGATGTGGAAAAAGGGGAACTCTTACACACTGTTAGTGCGAATGGAAGCCAGCAGAGCCACTATGGAACACAGTATGGAGAGTCTCCAAAACTAAAAATAGAACCACCGTATGATCCAGCAATCCCAGTACTGAGTATTTATCCAAAGGAAAGAATCAGTGTATCAAAAAGATATCTGCACACCCATATATTGTGGCACTATTCAAAATAGGCAAAATATGGACCCAACCTAGGCATCCATAGTGGATGAATGGGTAGAGAAAACATAATATATAAACACAATGAAATACTATTCAGCCATAAAGAAGAATGAAATCCAACCATTCAGAGTAACATGAATGAGCCTGGAAGACATTATGTTAAGTGAAATAAGCTGGGCACAGAAAGACAAATACTGCATGTTCTCACTCATATGTGGGAGCTAAAAAAGTTGATCTTACAGAAGTAGAAAGTAGAATTGTGGTTATTAGAGGCTGGGAAGGATAGGGTAAAGGGGAGGATGGGGAGAGGTTGGTTAATGGACACAAAATTACAGCTAAACAGGAGTTAAGTCCTAGTGCTTTATAGCACTGTAGGGTGAACATAATTAACAAGAATTCATTGCATATTTCCAAAAAGCAAGAAGAAAGGATATAACAGAATGTTCTCACACAAATAAATGACACCTTTGAGGTAACAGATATGCTAACTACCCTGATTTGATCATTACATGTTATATAAGTGTATCAAAATATCACTCTGTATCCCATAAATATGTACAAACATTATGTGTCAACTAAAAGTAATAGGAAAAAAGTCAGTGTCATAAAAAATAAAGGCGGGGGATTGTATCAGATTAAGAGACTTAAGCATCTTAAGAGCCAAATGTACTGTGCAAATCAAAACACACACATACACTCTCTCTCTCTCTCTCTCTCTCTGTCTATTAAGGAATAACTTAGGAAATTGAGTATGATAGCAATTTTGTTGAGCTTCTCAGATATGGCAATGGAACTGTAGTTACGGAGGTAAACATCCTTGTACTCAGGAGATATATGCTGAAGTACTTAGGGACAAATGTCATTGATGTCTGCCACTTCAAAAACTGGCAGCAAAAAGCTCAGCAAAAGAAAAAAGGAATGTGAACTACACACACACATGTTCAGAAAAGGAGAGACAAAGCAAAAACAGCAGATGTGAATAACTGGAGAATCTGGGTGACAGGTTCAATACGGGTGATTGTTTACTACGGTTTCTGTGTTTTGACACCTTTCTAATAAAAAAGTTGGGGGAAATAAAGGTCTCACCAGATCCCTACTGCCTAGAGAAGGCACTACCAATTCTTTTTTGTGGCAAAGATTTTTGATGATCTGGCACCAAATTAGTTTTCCAGCCCCTTCCCAATTGTAACCTCCTATCACCAACTACTCTGCCTACACACATGCCAAAATGCTCTATGCACTGTGTTTGGGACAATTTTTCTTTGCATGAGATGGTACACTCAGCATTCCTGACCCCACCCACTAATGTAGCAGGCAGGGCCCTTCCCCAGTCACCCATCTCCCACCAACTCCACCACATGGCCACAGAGCTCCTGATGGAGCTGAGCAATACCTCCCCAGCTGAGAGCTCCTGGGACACTACTCATAGTCCTTAGCACAAGCCAAGTGCTACAGGTCTCTGTGTTCTTAGCTGGGTTAACTGCTCACCTGAAAAGTCCTTTGCTTCCTCAATTTTGAATTACTTATCCTATAAAGCCCATCCCAAATATTTGATTTAAAAATATGAAAAGTGGAAATCTTCTGTAGAAATCATCTGATTCACATCCTTGGCTTTGCAGATGATGAAACTAAGGTCCTCAAAAGTTAAACAACCTGACTATATTTATAGGCCAAGGGGACACTGAAGCCAGGACCAGAATCCTGACTCATGCCAAGAACTCCTATGCTATTACAGTGCAACAGTCTTACTTATGAAGGCTTTCTCCCTCCCTGCAGCTAGAATGAACCCCTTCAGTGTCTCTAGAGCAACCTGCTGACAGCACTCTAGCACACAACCATACTGTGTCTTCTGCTCAGTCTGTGCCTGCCTGACTCATGACCCCACCTACTTGGTAAGCCCCTGGGGCCTGTGCTTTGTGTATCACCCAGCACAACATCTTGTACACAGTGGACACTCGAAAGTATTTATTTCAATCCATTAGTAAATAGTCTACTGCAAATCATATCCCTGAGGAACCCTCTACTTGGAAAACAAGCACACAAGTTTTACTTGCATTAGTTTTTAAAATTATGATCTTGATCAAGATATTATCTCAAAACAGTAAGAAACTTACCTTTTCTAAAGAGGCCCCAAAGAGTCTCCGAGCTAGCAGCTTGCCTGACTGTACGGCGACGGGAGTGAGCTCTGGCTTACCCTCCAAAATATCCCCAACAGCATAGACATATGGCACATTGGTCTGTTCCACATCATTTACAGGTATTTTTCCACTTCTGGTAGTTTTTGAAAAGGGGAAAAAATAGATTACAACTCACTCAACACTGCTGGCTGACTAATACTCTTAGCCAAAGGACTAAGACTAAATACATAGAGAAAAGACCTCTCTTAGAACTCATGCACCTCACGATATCAATTATCTGTAAGATCAATGAATTAACAAGGGTTTCTGTAGCTCCAAAAGAAAACACCTCTGGGGAAGCCACAGACATTTCCTGGATGCCTAGGATATCTGCAGACTGTCTCTACAGTCTCACTTAGAGCTTTGGAATTTATCTTTTTGCCTGACCAAGGTCATAAAGATGTGCTCTAAATCACAGATATTAGATGAATATATCTCTGCATTTATTTCTTAAAGTCATTGTTTAATATATGAGCTTTTTAAGGCATTCAATAAAAATTATTGATGAAGAAATTGATTATAAAGAGCTTGCACAGAACTTATTATAAGATAAATTAAAATATATATTTCTTAGAGGTGATCTGCAGAAACCTGTTGCTTTGTGCAGCAACAGTCCAATGATCCCAATATACTTACTTCTCATTAATTTTGACACCAATCTTCTCCAAGCCTATTTTCCTTGTACAGGAGTCACGACCAATAGCTAACAAAACCTGCATTTGGAGAGAAATCAAAAACACATATTATCCATATCAGGAATGAAAGAGAGAACATCACTATAGATCTTTCATACATTAAAAGGGTAATAACGCAATATTGCAAAACAATCTATGCCAATAAATCCGACAGCTTAAGGTGAAATAGATTCCTTAAAAGACACAACTTACCAAACTTACACACAAAAGTCTGAAAAGCTTACAGGCTAAATTATGTCCCTTCAAAATTCATATGCCAAAATTCTCTCCTTAAGTAACTCCAAGGATGACTGTATTTGGAAACAGAGCCTTTACGGAGATAATTGGGGTAAAACAGGTCACATGGGTGTGCCATAATCCAGTATGACTGGTGTCCTTATAAGAAGATGAGCACATGGGCAACACAGACCAAAGATGACCATGTGAGGATACAAGGAGAAGACAGCCATGTGCAAGCCCAGGAGAGAGGCCTCGGAAGAAACCAACCCTGCCAACACCTTGATCTTGAACTTCCAGCCTCCAGAACTGTGAGAAATACATTTCTGTTGTTTAGGCACCCCAGTCTGTGGTACTTTTCCAGAACTGTGAGAAAATAATTGTCTGTTGTTTAAGCCACCCACTCTGTGGTATTTTGCTATGGCAGCCCTGGCAAACTAATATGCCCTATACCATCAAAGAAACTGAATTCACAATTTGTAAATTTCCCATAAATTAATTTCAGACCCAGATGGCTTCTCTAGGAAAGCCTATGGAATACTTAAGTAAGAAATAATGTTAATGGTACACAAACTCTTCCAGGAAAGAAAGAGGAAAAGGGATTACTTCCCAACTTCTTTTTTATGAGGCCAGTATAAGCAACTGACACCAAAATCAGATAAGGACATTAAAAGAAAAGAAATCCACAAGCCAACACTCCTCATGAATATAGATATAAAATCCTTAATGAAATGTTAGCAAATCAAATATAGTAATATAAAAAAAGGATGATTGATTGTGACCAATGAGTTTGTCCCAAAAATGGAAATTTGGTTTAACATACAAAAACCCATCAATGTAATTCATCATATTAACATATTAACATATTAAACAAAAAAATTCAATCATATCAATAGGTGCAATAAAGCATTTCACAAAATTAAATACCCTTTCATAATTAAAATCTTTAGAATAAAAGAAAAAAAAATTTCCATCACCAGATAAAAGGCATGTATAGAAAACTTACGGGTCATGTCCTGGAAATGATAAAAGACTGACTGCTGCACCCCTAACACCAGGAACAAGACAGGCATGTCCATTCTCACAATTACTAGTCAATACTGTATTGGAGGTCTTAGCCAGTGAAATAAGGCAAGAAAGAGATTAAAAGCATGCATACTAGAAAGGAAGAAACATTGTTTTTATTTGCAGATATGAATCCTAACAAGCTACAAAGTCAACATTTATATACTACCAGCTAGCCACTTAAAAATGTCATTTGTAGGCCGGGCGTGGTAGCTCACATCTGTAATCCCAGCACTTTGGGAGGCCAAGGCAGGAAGATCACCTGAGATCAGGAGTTCGAGACCAGCCTGATCAACATGTAGAAACCCTGTCTCTACTAAAAATACAAAATTAGCCGGGGGTGGTGGCACATGCCTGTAATCCCAGCTATTCAGGAGGCTATGACAGGAGAATTGCTTAAACCTGGAAGGTGGAGGTTGTGGTGAGCCAAGATTGTACCACTGCCCTCTAGCCTGGGCAACAAGAGGGAAATGCCATCTCAAAAAAAAAAAAAAATATATATATATATATATAAAATTCATATTAGCTTTAAAAACATGAAATATACTTAGCAAAACATGTGAAAGAGCTCTAGAGCCCCATGATAAAACATTGCTGAGAGAAACTAAGGAATACCCAAATAAATGGAAAAACATACGAGATTCATATGTTGGAAAAATCAATATTGTTAAAAAATCAGCTCTTCCAAACTGACTATGAAAAAAAGACAGTTCCAGCCAAAATTCCAGCAGACTTGTTTCTAGAAATTAAAAAGCTATTTTTAAAAGTTATAATAGAAAAAAAAATGAAGAAAAAAATGAAAAAAAAGGAAAAGTTATGTAGAAATACAAAGAATCTAAACAAAATTAGAATTCTAAAATTAAAATTCTACCTGATCTAAGATTTACCACAGAGCTCCAGTAATCAAAACAATGTGGTACTGGGGAAAGGACAGACAAATGGTCTATGGGACAGAATGAAGAACACAGAAATAGACCCACAGTTAAATGGTCTTTCATCAAAGGCTCCAAAGCAATTCAATGGCGAAAGGGAAGTCTTTTGGATAAGTGGTACTGTATATCCACACGGGGAAAAAAAGAACTGCATAGTGAAGCATGTATGTTCTATACAATCCATAACACATGTGATGAGGTGTAAAATAAAGTGTCTGCAGATCTAGGATGTGGCTGTGGAGTGCTTAGCCTTGGAACTGCAATGTGAGAAGCCAGGTTGCATGTTGGATTTGACATAGATGCAGATGCACTGGGAATATTTAATAGGATTGTGGAAGAGTCTGAATTCACACATGTTGGCATGGTTCAGTGTGATGTGTGCTCATTATCTAATGGAATGTCCAAGCAATTTTGAGTCCTCCTTTTGGGACCAAAAATAATAAAGGGACAGACATGGCTTTTCCAAAGACTGCTTTGGAAATGGCAAGAAAAGCAGTATATTCTTTACCCAAACCTTCAACTAGAGAACATGTTCAAACAAAGCTGCAGAATGGAAAATCAAGACAGATGTTATTGCAGAGCTTTGAGATGATTTGCCAGCATCACACAACTTTCAGGAAAAGAAATCAATGGACAGTGAAAGGGACCTAATTCAGTTTTCTTTTCAAAAGCCTCCAAAAGCAAAAGCAGCTTAAAATCTAATTAAAATAAATTCTAATTAAAATGAATGAGAATTAAGTTGTTTACTAAAAATATTAAAGACAGATTACAGACTTAAACATAAAAGGTAAAACTATACAACTTCAGGAAGGAAACAAAGGGACACTTTCATGACCTTTGGGTTAGCAGATTTCTTAAAGCACACAGAAAGCATGAACCGTAAAGTAAAATACTAATAAAATTGAACTTCACCAAATTTAAAACTACTGCTAACCCAAAGATACTACTAAAAAATACAAGGCAAGTCACAGACTGGAGGAAAATATTCACATTACATATATCTGAAAAAGGAATATTCCCAAGAAACATAGAAGTCCTGTAATTCAAGAATAAAAATTCAAATGATCCAACAAAAAATGGCTGAGATTTAAACAAATGCTTCAAAGAAAAGATCCATCAATGGCCAATAAACACATGAAAATTGCTGTCCATCATTAGTCATCAGGGAGATGCAAATAAAAGCCATAAGATACCTCTACATATCCACTAGAATGGCTAGAATGAGAAAGCCAGATGGCCCTAAAGGTCCTAAGGGTCTGGAACAACCAGGCCCTCACATATAGCTGATGGAAATACAAAATGGCATAATCATTTGGAAACTCTCTGGCAGTTTTTTAAAAAGTAAACATCATCCCATGATCAAGCAATTTCACTCCTATTTGTCCAAGAGAAATTAAAATATATGTCAGCTGGGAGCAGTGGCTGATGCCTATAATCCCTGCATGTTGAGAGGCCAATATAGGAGGACTGCTTAAGGCTAGGAGTTCAAGATCAGCATGGACAGGACAACACAGTGAGACACCATCCGTTTAAAAAAAAAAAAAATTAGCCAGGCATGGTGGCATGTGCCTGTAGACCTAGCAACTAAGGAAGCTAAGGTGGGAGGATCATTTAGCCAAAGAGTGAGAAGCTGCAGTGAGCCGTGATATCACCACTGCACTCCAGCCTAGACGACAGAGTGAAACCATTTCTAAATATATCTTTATAAAAAGCTTTCTACAAAGACTCTTCACAGCGTTTTAATCTCAATAGTCCAAACTGCAAAGAGCCTAGGTATCTATCCACAGGAAAATGAATAAACTGCTGCATTAATAAAATCTATATGATAAAAAGAACTGATGAATATAAGATGGATGATTGCTAAAAACATCAATCTGAATAAAAGAAGCCAGATATAAGGAGTACATACTGCACAATTCCACTTATGTGACATTTAGAGGCAAACCAGAACAAAATGAGTCTATGATGACAGAATCAGAATAGTGGTTGCTTAGGGTCAATGACTGGGAAAAAGCACAGAGAGCTTTCTGGACTCACAGAAATGTCCTGTTACCTTTAAAGGAGTGTGGATTACATGAACATGGACATTGTCAAAACTAACTGAACTGTACACCTAGGATCTGTGCATTTCACTACATGTATATTATACCTCAATACGAAACTAACCAATTAAGAGTTAGATATTATGGGCAACTTTATACCAACACATTTGAAAACTCAGATGAAATGCACAAATTCCTGGAAAAAAATATAACTAATCAAAAGTAAATCAAGGATAAAATAAAAAGCCTTGTGCTCACTTTGGCAGCACATTACTAAAATTGGAACAATACAGAGAAGATTAGCATGGCCCCAGCGCAAGGATGACACGCAAATTCGTGAAGTGTTCCATATTAAAAAAAAAAAAAAGCCTTAAAAGTCCTTTGTCTATTAAAGAAATTCATCAGTGGTCAAATATATCTCCATAGAAAATTCTAGGTGTAGATGGTTGCATCAGTGAATTCTATAAAACATACAAGGAACCAATTCTAATGTTACATGAATTTTGCTAGAGAACAGAAAATGAGGAAACATACTCCAAACTTCTTTCATGAGCAAGAATACCCTGATACTCAAACCTAAAATTAAAATATTCAATATGTAAAAGAAAAATTATAAGCCAATGCAATATGATTCATGAATATAAATGCATAAATTCTAAATAACCAAGTCCAACATTACCAAGTTGGGTTTATACAAAGGATACAAAGTTGGTTGAACATTAGAAAATCAATGCAACTCAACAAATTAACAGATTAAAGAAAACATTCATTATTTGCAGCTGCAAAATAAAAACAAACAAACAAACAAACAAAACACTGTTATAACTGAACATCCTTTTTTTTTTTCGAGGCAGAGTCTCACTCTGTTGCCCAGGCTGGAGTGCAGTGGTGTGATCTTGGCTCACTGTAACCTCTGCCTTCCGAGTTTATGCAATTCCCTGCCTCATCCTCCTGAGTAGCTGGGATTATAGGTGCCTGCCACCACGCCTGGCTAATTTTTTGTATTTTAAGTAGAGATGGGGTTTCACCATCTTGGCAGGCTGGTCTTGAACTCCTAACCTCGTGATCCACCTGCCTTAACCTCCCAAAATCCTGGGATTACAGGCATGAGCAACTGTGACCGGCACACTCAATCATTTTTAAATATACAGAACAAAGTAAAGGAAAAGACACTTAGGAAACAAAAAATAGAAAAGGAGTTCCTTAACTTGACTAACAGTATGTAACAAAACTCTACAGAAAACACCGCTTTTTAGTGAAACACCTTTCCTTTTGATATTGAAAATAAGACAAGAGTGTCTGCTATTGCCATTTCTTGTCAAGACTGTATTGAAGGTCCTAACTAATGCATTTATACAAGTAAAAAGGGGAAAACCAGCAAAAAGGAAGAAACAGACTGTCATTATTCACAAATAAATGTGTACACAGGAAATCTGAAATAATCTAAGGATAAATTTTTCAGTAAGGGTTTAGCAAGATTACTGAATACTAAATCAAAACACAAAAATAAGTAGAATTTTTATACACCAGAAAGTTAAATATTAAAAAAAAACCAACATTTGTAACTACATATAAATTACGTTAAGTACTTAGTAATAAATCTGACAGAGGTTCTTGATCCCTAAGGAGAAATGTATTAACTTTTCCAAGAATCATTGAAGAAAATCTAAATTAATGACTAGATATACCATGTTCATGGGTTGGAAGACTGAATATTGAAAAAGTCAAGTGTTTCCAAATTTTCCTATATATCTAATCCAATCCTAATCAAAATCTCAACAAGGTTGATTTGGGGGTTTTGGTTTTGTTACATGTTTTTTGGGTTTGTGGATGCTCTCTGGGTTATATTTTTGCTAACTGAAAAAATATCTACATAAAGAGTATATAAAACATAAATGGTTCATACCACTGCACTCAGCACTTTGGGAGTGCTGTAATCTCAGCACTTTGGGAGGCCAAGGTGGGCGGATCACCTGAGGTCTGGAGTTCAAGACCAGTTTGACCAACATGGGCAAACCCCATCTCTACCAAAAATACAAATTAGCCAGGTGTGGTGGTGCATGTCTGTAACTCCAGCTACTTAGGAGGCTGAGGCAGGGGAATTATTGAACCTGAGGGGCAAAGGTTGCAGTGGGCTGAGATGGCAACATTACACTCTAGCCTAGGCAACAAGAGCAAAACTCTGTCTCAAAGGAAAAAAAAAGTAAACATAAATGTATAGTTTTGGTCAAAACTATAAACTAATTAAAAAGAAGTATTGGCCTCTAAAGTATTCCATGGGTTAACATTGTTTGGAGATTTTGTACTGTTTGTTTTTGAGAAAGAAAAATAGCTTTGCTATTGTTTTTCATTATAAAATATATTAAATATTTATTGCAAAAATATTCAAATTAAGAAATGTATAAAATAACTAATTCTCCAAAAGTAAGCACTAATAACACCTGGACATATGTGCTTCCAAATTTTACATACAATTGCAAATACATATATTTTACCATGGTAATCCTCATGTATTACTGAAAACTCAAACAGCAGCAGCCAAACTATCTTCCATCGTAACACTCTTACAAAGAATAAAAAAATATTAATCAGTATAATCTACCTGTAAGTTTCATTTCTGTTAATTTATGAGTGTGTTCAATAACTTAATAATAAAAAAATAAAAACTCACTGTGTTATAGACTTCTTCAATTGTTTCTGTTCCTTCAGTAGATTTAGCCAATACTTTCAGCTTTCCAGGTGAACCTTTCTCCAACTGTTGAACCTAGTAAGAATAAAGAGTGTAATGATGCTATCTAAATATGATAAAAAAAGAAATGCATAAAAGGGTGTACACTGGTATGTTCATGTACACTTGTGTGTGTGGTGGTGGTATATACAATATGTGTTAGTATAGTTAAGGTTTCTGGACAAGGCAGAAATATAGAAAAGTGGACTGTCACAGATGCATTTTGGAGGTAGAAATGAATTAATGAATTAATTGAGATTGGAGGGAGAAAAAAAGAGAAATTAAGGGGTGTTCCTCAATACTGGCTTACTACGTTGTGTTAAATACCTTTTACCAAGTACTGAGATGGACCAGAAAGATTAGCAGGAGAATATATTTAGGTAAAAAATCTAGAGTTTCATTTTTCTCTTGTTAAGTTTGAAACGCTTATGAGAGATTCAAGTGGCAATTTCCAGTAGACAGAAGTATAAATGAATGTGCAATTCAGGAGAGACTCTTAAACAGGAGATATAAATCTGAGAATCATTAGCATTTAGATGATGCTTTAAACTATGGGCCTAGAGAAGATCATCCAGGTAATACAAGTGCACAGACGTGTAGAGGGGCCTGGAGGAAAACAAATGGGTGCTGGTGTCTATAGGTTGAGTAGATGTAGATGAGAAAACTATAGACTGTGGGGCCACATAAGCCAGAAAAGAGGGTGCTTCAAACAGAAGGCCAGTTTTACCACATGCTGTCTAGAGGCCCAGTAAGATAAGGACAGAGACTGTACCACTGGATTTGACGACAGGAAATTTGCTAAAAACCTACAACCAGTTTCAAAGAAGTAGTGGAGATGGAAACAGCTGACAGTCAGGTAAGTGTGAAATGGAGGCAAGAAATTAGAAGCAGCATGAAGAGTTTTGTTTTGTTTTGTTTTGTTTTATAAAGGAGAAAAGAAAAATGGGGACCCAGGCATAACAGCAGTGAGGGTAAGAGAAGTCTTAATTGTTCAAGATGAGAGTCAGTGACATGAATAAGGAAAAAGAAGACAACTAACTGAAGATGGGACATCCTTGAAAAGGTGAAACAAAGCAGGAGATTAGGGGATTCAGCCTCTGAAAAGAGCAAGGACACTTCCTATATCAGAGGGGACAAGTGGACAAATGGGGTTGGCTCTGTAGACTTGGGAGTGGAAACACTGTTTTAACATTATTTGAATACAGACTAATTTATGTAATGAAACGAAGTAAGGTGGGGTAAAGTGAAAACTCAGAGAAAAGAAACTGCAAATGCCATGCAGCCTTACCATCACAGGTATGAATTTCCACAGGAACCTCACACCATGCTGCTCCATGTAGGAACCCACTTTCTCTGCCATTTCTTGGTCAAAGCCACGGAGAAGGATTGAGCGTACCATAACTGTGACATCCAGGCCAAAGCCAGCCAGAAACCCTGCACACTCCAGGGCGACGTAAGAGGCACCTACCACTAACGTTTTGCCAGGGCAATAAGGCAGAGAAAAAAGGTCATCACTGAAAAAGAAAAATTAAAAAAAAGAATACCTAGGCAGTAAGAACGAAATGAGTGACTCATATTTCAGTGTATAATGGTCTTGTAAAGACTGAATTACAATTTAGTGTGTGAATGAAGCAACAACCTTTTGAAATTTGTAATTAAGTCTGCTGTGGAGTGGAACAATAAGTATACTTCAGTTTTTTCAAAATCAGATCACAAGCAAAGTTTTTTAAAAAATAAAATAGTATAGAAAATATCAGACTATATTATATGTGATGAGAAAAAAATCTGTTTGTTTTGGAGGTGTATGTATGTGCTACGTGAAGGGGTATGTGTTTGTTTACCTGGACAAACAATGTATTTAATTAATGTGAGTCAGCTCAAAAAAGTTTGCAAGTCATTGCACATATGTCCTCTGTTTGACCACCAAGAATAATTCCTATTAAATCTCAGTGTTAAGAAGAGCAGTATTTTTATCATAAGGATACTAAATCCTAGAGCTAATTGTATTTACTTATCTGCTTTGGCCTGTAAGAAGTTTAGAACCAAGTTCCAAGGGTACTTCTAGCAATCACCGAGACTCATATGTCATATTTTTGTACATTAATTTTGCCACTGGCCTTATTTACCTGACTTTATATTCTCTGTTTCATTGCCTTTAACTGTTTAGCTTCTTGCATTGCATGTATTTTCATTAGTCTATTCGAATCTTTTGTAGAATAAGACAGGAAGTAAATAAACTGGAAACATGTTAATATGGTGCAATTTATTAACATTAAAGTTAAAATGGTCCATTTAACCTTACCTGGTAATACAGTATTCTTTATCTCCTTGGATTCCTAAATACCGCGGCCTTTCACCCGTTGCTATGACAAACTGTGCAGCAGTATAATAAGTTTCCTGTCCATTTTTATTGGTTGCCTTGAAAAAAAGAAGTAAACCTCACTTACTCAACAAACACTACAGAGTACCAGACACCATGGACAAAACAGTTACTACCCTCATGGAGCTTCCCATATAACAGGAACAGCACACATGCAAAAAAGTAATAATGCAATGTGATAAGCACAAGCACAGAAAATAGAAATCTTTATGAAATATTAATCAAAGCCCCATGGTGAGGGTAGAGTAGTGGACTAGAAAGCCAATCAAGGATGGATTAAAGAAGGAGTGGAGATTTTCAAATGGAGATGAGAAAAGTGAAATGATGGGAGAGGAACAGAGACCTGGAAGACATAACAATGTTCACAAAAGCACATGGGCCTGGAAGGAGCTGGTTTGTGAAGACTGGAGAGCAGGGTTGTGTCAGAAGTGACATGGAACAGACAGACTAGAGCCAAGTGTGAAGGCCCTTATGTCATCCTAACAACTTAGGCTATGGGGAACCAACAAAGGCTGTTCATAATTTGTAATTATACAAATAATTCAAAAATATATTTTCCTTTAAAAACATTCAAACTCAAGGAGAACTACAAACCACTGCTCAGTGAAATAAGAGAGGACACAAACAGATGGAGAAACATTCCATGTTCATGGTTAGGAAGAATCAAGAAAATGGCCACACTGCCCAAAGTAATTTACAGATTCAACGCTATCCCCAACAAGCTTCCAATGACCTTCTTCACAGAACTGGAAAAAACCACCTTAAACTTCTTATGGAACCAAAAGAGAGCCCGCATAGCCAAGTCAATTCTAAGCAAAAACAACAAAGTGGGAGGTATCACACTGCCGGACTTCAAACTACACTACAAGACTACAGCAATCAAAAGAGCATGGTACTGGTACCAAAACAGAGATACAGACCAATGGAACAGAACAGAGGCCTGAAAGGCAACCCAACACATCTACAACCATCTGATCATTGACAAACCTGACAAAAACAAGCAATGGGGAAAGGATTGCCTGTTTAATAAATGATGTTGGGAAAACTGGCTAGCCATGTGCAGAAAGCAGAAACTTGACCCCTTCCCGACACCTTACACTAAAATTAACTCCAGATAGATTAAAGACTTAAACATAAGACCTAACAGCATAAAAATCCTAGAAGAAAATCTAGGCAAAACCGTTCAGGACACAGGTGTAGGCAAGGACTTCATGACCAAAACACCAAAAGCACTGGCAACAAAAGCCAAAATAGACAAATCAGACCTAATCAAACTCCACAGTTTCTGCACAGCAAAAGAAACAGTCATTAGAGTGAATTGGCAACCAACAGAATGGGAAAAAATTTTTGCAGTCTACCCATCTGACAAAGGGTTGATATCTAGAATCTACAAAGAACTAAAACAGATTTACAAGAAAAAAACAAACAAGCCCATTCAAAAGTAGGCAAAGGACATGAACAGACACTTTACAAAAGAAGACATACATGAGGCCAAGAAACATATGAAAAAAGTGCTCATCGTCACTGGTCATTAGAGAAATGCAAATCAAAACTACATTGAGATACCACCTCATGCCAGTTAGGATGGCTGGCGATCATTAGAAAATCCAGAGACAACAGATGCTGGAGAGGATGTGGAGAAATAGGAACACTTTTACACTGTTGGTGGGAGTGTAAATTGGTTCAACCATCGTGGAAGACAGTGTGGTGATTCCTCAAGGACCTAGACACAGAAATTCCATTGGACCCAGCAATCCCATTACTGGGTATATATCCAAAGGATTATAAATTGTTCTACTATAAGGACACATGCACACAAATGTTCACTGCAGCACTGTTCACAGTAGCAAAGACCTGGAACCAACCCCAATGCCCACTGATGACTGACTGGACAGGGAAAATGTGGCACATATACACCATGGAATACTATGCAGCCATCAAATACAATGAGTTCATGTCCTTTGTAGGGACACGGATGAACCTGGAAACCATCATTCTCAGCAAACTGACACAAGAACAGAAAATCAAACACCACGTGTTCTCACTCATAGGTGGGTGTTGAACAATGAGAACACATGGACACAGGGAGGGGAGCATCACACACTGGGGTCTGTAGAGGGGAAACAGGGGAGGGACAGTGCAGGGTGGGGAGTTGGGGAGAGAGAGCATGGGGAGAAATGCCAGATTTAGGTGATGGGAAGGAAGTCAGCACATCACACTGCCATGTGTGTACCTATGTTACAATCTTGCATGTTCTTCACATGTACCCCAAAACCTAAAATGCAATAAAAAGAAAAAAACTGAGGAGAAAAAAAAATACATTATGAGCACATTCCCATGTCATGAAGTATCTTTTTATAATATTTTTTGTTGCTATACTGGGTTCAATGATAAGTGTGAGCACAGTATGTTTAATAAACACCAATTGTTGGGGAAAAATAAAACATTCAAATACTAATGAAGGTGTTTAAACAAGTGGGTTGGCACCATGAGTGGGATATAGAACACAGCCTGGAGAAAGAGCCTTGCTTGGAAGGGCTCTGAAAAAGACAAGTGAGTACAGGCTGTGGGGTCAAAGGGAGACTCTGGAGTTTCTAGCGTTGAGGGACTGGGAATGTGCTAGCATCACTAAACCAAGAGCCACACAAGAGGCAGGTATGGCTGGGGCTTATTCAACCATCTGTGCCAGGAAATTTGAGAAATAAAACAGGTATTTCTGCCGTGTTTCACATAAATAACATAATTCAAATTGGCCCATGTAAGGTTTTAAAGGGCTAGCTTTACCTTATTATTTTTTAGGAGTGAAATATATCTTTAATTGACTTTAAAACACATCATCCAAAATATAGATTATATGGCAAATGATAACAATTGTTAAAGCTAGGAATTGAATATTTGGCTATTTACTATGTTACGTTCTCAATTATTTCCTGTTCAAATAAAAATATTTAAACAAAATGTTGAAAATAAACCTTGAAGGGCAGCTTTAAATGGACCATACTTCACACGTTTCTGAGATAACAACTGAATAAAACATAATCTAAAATCTTGCCAAGATTATCTCACACTGTGCTAACAAAGTATAAAAATAAACTAGATGATGAGGACAATATCTGATTGTCTGTCATAATTCCAATTTAAACTGTTTGTGTTCTTCAAAATGATCTCATTGTCCTTATATTATTAATCTAATAATATATAAATACTACAAAGATAAACTTACAAAACACACTAATTCTAATACTACTTTTATCAATGCTTTTATGAATAATATATATTGGAGTTCTAGTTAAGGTTTCATTTTTAGGAAGCATTCCACTAATAAAATTTTGATCTTTTTAGTCTTTTAAATTTTGAACTGCTTAGTCTAAACATGTTCTCTTTTTTTTTTTTTTTTTGAGACGGAGTTTCGCTCTTGTTACCCAGGCTGGAGTGCAATGGCGCGATCTCGGCTCACCGCAACCTCCGCCTCCTGGGTTCAGGCAATTCTCCTGTCTCAGCCTCCTGAGTAGCTGGAATTACCGGCATGTGCCACCATGCCCAGCTAATTTTTTGTATTTTTAGTAGAGACGGGGTTTCACCATGTTGACCAGGATGGTCTCGATCTCTCGACCTCGTGATCCACCCGCCTCGGCCTCCCAAAGTGCTGGGATTACAGGCTTGAGCCACCGCGCCCGGCCCAACATGTTCTCTTTTAATATGGCCATAAAATAAAAGGCAAATAACTTTAAACTAAGGGTTCTTTAAAATACAATTTCCTCAAGGTAACCAAACATATAGAATTAACAAACAATGGGAGAAAAACACGTGTACACGCATGACCGTGTGTGTGCGTGTGTATGCACGCGCACGCACACACACACCTGTGACGCTCCTTAGCATGCAACATGAAATTTTAGTCCCAGGCAAGTATAAACAATTGTAAGGAAAGGAAATGAACAAGACAAGAAACTCAAACAGTACCTTTATTTTGTGATGTTCAACAAATTCTCCATAGGAATTGACATAGGCCACAGCCTTTTCCCTCAAAGACAACCCGTAGCCAAAGTTTAGAGAGCGGATGTGGTTCTGAATTGCTTTTGTCATCGTCTCCCAGTTGTGCTTCACTAAGAAGAAACAACCAGGATAAAGATGTTACGTGAATTTTACCTTTAATGGTAAACTATACGTAACCGGACATGAGCCATGCTAACAGTGCTTTAAAAATCATGAAGTAGACAGAAGATAATTAACAATTTAAATCTTTTTTATGCCAGCCATAGTTTATAGTCTTCCTATTTTATATCACAAAGAATGTGCAAAAAGCAAGAATTTTGAAAAGAAGGAAACTGGGGAAAAGTCCATGGAGGAGAGAATGCAGAAACTGGCCCTCATATGGCAATGCCCACGACGACATGAGGCAGGAGGCTCACTTCTCCTTGGTGGCATCTCCTAGAACCCTTTCCTGCCACAATGGTACATACCCTCACATCCTAAAGATATTTCTTCCCCATCCCCCAGAAAAACTTTTCTTCCAACCCTTAAACCACTTATCCTAAGAATCCTGTCAGCTCAGCTCACAGTTCATGTGTCCTTTTGTTTCTTGTTCTTGTTGCAAAAGGCATTCTAGATTAGAGGCTCTCAAATATGTTACAACGGGAATCATGTTGACCTATACAAATCCTAGGACCTGCCAAAAACTATAAAATCAGGAGTGGGACCCTGGAACCTATACAGCTAAAAGGCTCCTCCTGGAGTTTCTGATATGCCAAATCTATGAACTTGCACTTTGAAACCACCTGCTCTACTGTTTCACTGATGTGTTTAGTCCTGCAACAGTACATTTTTAAATACTGAGAAAGGTCACCCTCTATACCTTCTCAAAGGTTGCCTAGCTATTTTCACATATGTATTTTTCAATACAAATTTTAAAATAATTAGCCAATCTCCAAAAAGAAAAAAATGTCTCATGGAGATCTTACCAGACTTATATAAAATTTACAAATAATTTTTGAGATAATGTCTTCACAATATTGAGACACCCTCTCTAAAATCATAGTAAATTTCTTGTCATGCCTTTATTTTCTTTCCTTATTTATCCTATATATTCCTGGTTGAATTTATTTCAAGTTCTTTTCATTTTTTGTTACAATTTTCAATTATACATGTGAATATATATGTATATATCGACACACCACATATACATACACATACACAATACATGTATATATACCTATACATACACACACACCCCCACATAGATATTTTAAGAGACAGGGTCTCACTCTGTTGCTGAGGCTAGAGTGCCGTGACACAATCTCAGCTCACTGCAGCCTCGACCTCCCAGATCCAATCAATCCTCCTGCCTCAGCCTCCTGAGTAGTTGGGACTACAGGCATGCACCACCATGTCCAGCTAATCCTAGCTTGACCTAAAGCTCTCCATTGAGCTAACTGGAGAAATGTGTCCAGCATCAACCCATTATCCTGAACTCAACCCCACCCTGCCAATAAATCAAAGCTGCCTGTGTTTTCTATCTCAATGAATGGTATTCCATTTCCCCCAGTCCCTCTTCCTGTATTCTTTCCTCTCCCTCACTCCATCTCCTACCATGACCTGGATGGCTTGTCATAATCAACTGGCTATGGTCAGAACCAGGATCATATATGATCCTTCAAATGTGCATATTCACTGCCCACATCTATCAGATCAAAATATCTGCAAAAAGAGACAAGTGGTTTGTAAGTTGTCTTAAACTCCACAAGACATTCTGATATACAGCCAAGTCTACATCCAACTGATCACCACGTCTGGTCAGTTCTATGCCTTCAGTTGCCCTCCGACCTGACTTCAGTCTTTGCTCAGGCCTCTGTCATTTCTTGTCTCCACTTCCCCATACTTTCCTCTCTTTTCTAAGCTCCTCAGTGCCATCAAAGGTGTAAAAGTTGTCAGAATCAAAATGGAGTAACTTGTGCTTAAAAAAAAAAAAAAAAAAAGAACTCTGACAAACAGAGCTGGGGAAGGCCATGAAGAAAGGGTTTTCTGGGTTGTATACCTGATAACATAATCATCACATCACAAACACTGCAAAAACCACAAACTTGCCCAGAGGCCATCACAACCTTACATAAAAATACATCTTCCAGGACATCTGCCCAGCAACTGCCTGTCCACCTTGGACTTGAGTCACCCTAGTTACTGATCCTTGTAGCCAAGGATAATCATTTCAATCCTATCACCCTCATTTTTGCTTAGGAAACCCTCGTCTTCCTTTACATCCCTGAACACGCACATCATTTACTATGGCACACATGTTCCAGCTGCAGTGCCCAATTCAGAAATAAGCATTATTTTCTTTAGGGAGCTTCTCTCTACTTGCTACTTAGCTTGACAGAAGGACCCAGAATCACAGCCCATGGCTCATGCTCCTCTCCTGCTTCAACTCCCTTCATCTACTCTTCACTCCAGCTGCTCCTAACTCCCCAAAACATCATGTTTCCTCACATCTCCATAGTGTTCATCAAGCTGCTTCCTGTGTTAAAGGTCCTACACCTCTGTGACCTTCCAGATGCAGCTCAAGGGTCACCCTGTCTAAAGAGCTTTCCCTCACACTCCCCCACCACCCTCAAGGCTGCATGGAGCCAATACTCTAAGCAGCACAGCTAATTTGAATGCACTGAATGAATTTCCTTGTCTCTCTCTCTCTCTCCCACTAGACTACGTGCTATTTACAGGCAGCTCTGCTTCCTCACATCGGTATCCTCAGAGCCTGGCTAATACATGTTTACTAGATGAATATCTTTTCCACCTTTCATTAACCAAAGATACATATAACCACGGAGAAAAAATGTAACAGATAAAATTCAAATAATAACCCTTGCTATTCTATTTTCCTTAGACTTGAAAGAAATTTGAAAATAGCAATTATTTAATCTTTTACATTCTGCCAAGGATATGGAATTGCTGCAGCTGAGACAATTCCCTCTCTAGGTGGTGAGGCCCATAACAGCAGGACCCTCTTTGCATCCTCTATGCCTGGCTGACACAGTGGCTTCCTAATGAATGTTCATTAAATGAATTATGAACTCAACTATAAAAATATGAACAGCAAGTCTTTATCTTTAAAAAACTCATTTTTTTCTTTTCTCTCAATCTATACTTTATATACATTACTCACCTTGTTGATTATACTCCCAGCCAAACTTCCTTGAGTCATGTAATGCCTGCCCCAAAAGGGCAGCCTGATGCATCAATTTCTTAGGAATACAACCTACATTTACACAAGTGCCACCAAGACCTGAGGAAAAAAATAAGTTTTAATGCTTCTTCTGTGTGTGTCTAGTTTCACACATCTGCAGACACATTGTATTAAAACATGTGGAAATTACAAGCTCAATGGTGAGGGGACGACACTTCACCCCAAAATAAGACACAAGGGATTATCCCAAATTTTCTGATCACGGTTTCACAACCGTGGAGACTCAAGGACCCCTAAAAATACAGACACGCATGTGAGAAGTTTTCTGGGCACAGAGTCCAAAACTTTCACTTGAGTCTAATCCACAGTGATCAGAATGATCTGAGATTAACTAAATATGTACTACACCAAGGGTGAGAGAGGGTGAGAAACTCAGCTCCCAGCCTTGTACTCTCCATAACTCCGACTCCTCTGAGCCATGTCGTCAACTGCAAGCTGCCTGGACACCTTTACTCTGAGTGCTAAACAACACAAAATGTATCATCGCCACTTGTTAACTATAACCTCACTAAGACTCGGTTCATTTAAAAAATTTATTTTTATTTATTTTTTTAAATAGAGACAAGGTCTCGCTATATTATCCAGGCTAGTCTGGAACTCCTGAGTCCCATAAAGTACTGGGATTACAGGCAGGAGCCTCTGGGTCTGGCCTAGCCTTGCCTGTTTTCTTATCCAAGAAACAGGTGAGTTATACCTCTTGAGATTGTCATGAGGATTAAATGAGATTACATAAAGCAAACAACATATGTAAAGAGCATAGAGGAACAACAGAGATAAACAGCTTACCCCAGCACGTGCCCTGAGGTGACGGGACAACAAAGTCTAGAACCATAACTTTCTTTCCCAAAATGGCAGCTTCCTACAAATGAACAACAACAAAATTTACATCTAAAGATCTTGTCACTTTTCTGACACTCTCTCAATTTTTGTCTTCTCTAAAAGACTGTTTTTGTGTGACACACAATCTTTTACCTGAATTACACCAGCTATTACAATAGAAGCTTAAACTGTAACGTTAGTTGTTTCTTCTTTTTTTAAGTATAGAAGAAATGCCTATGGCAATCACCAGGAAGATTATCTATGAATTTCATTTCTATGTTCATACCTTTGCACACGAAAGGCCACCAGAACCACCACCGATGACGATCAGATCATAATCATATGCCGAATCTTCGTGAAGGAGCTTTTGCAACAAACCACTCTGATATGCCTATGGTTTAATTACAGGAGAAAGAACACTGCAGAATTTAAAGTTTTACAGCTATTTATGTGTACCCTATGTTCAATTGGTATGGATTTCTTTTATAAAAATCTTAGGAACAATCTATAATTTATCTAAGTTGGAACTGTACATTTATCTGGATGCTATTTAAAAATACAGTCTAACTTGTTAGAACTTATACCAAAGTGTATACGTTTTTGTCCCTTCTGACCTATCACCTGACAGCTATGCATGTGCCAAATAACTTAGAAGGCCGTGGCTCTGGATCTACGTAAGATGAGGTCATTTTCTTGGTCCAATCATCAAAATGTTATAGTCAAATGCAGTGGAATACCAAGTATCATTTTTCAATATCCTTGCTCATCTATGCTAGTCTTCATTTTGAAAAACATTTTATGCATTATCAGCATATTTTGTCATGGCTTTTCATAAATAAATCTAACTTTTGTAACTACAAAAGTAGCTCAATTACTGGTGAGCTTTCTATACAACACCAACATCTTGCATTTTCTTTCAGCAAGTCATGATGCTGGCCCTGGGGCGTATCCTCTTGCTCACTTGGCCCTCCTTGTGATCAGAAGTAGTTCAGATGAGGTTAGAGGTTCAATCTATGATTTAGTAACAATTTTCTTTACACCAAGTCAGTTGTTCGCTTCCATTATCTTGGGTTTAGACAAACACCATGATCAAATTAGCGCTTCCTGTGACACACAACAGATGCTTCGTAACTATTTGGACTCACCAGATGCATGTGTCCCCATGAAGAATGGGTGCCCAAAAAGGTTTTGGGGACATTCTAAAAAGGGGTCCTCTGGCCTCCTTACTTTCAGGTGCCCTTAGGGAAATCCAGCTCATCAGGATCTGCCATCCAAGAAATATCTCTCTGTCTTAAAATAACAGAATTGCTGTCTCTGTACCTACAGATTCATTCCTGGACATCATTTTCCAGGTTAAGATTGGCAAGACGACCACTTCAGAAGGTGTACAGGGGCCATAATTACAGGACTTAACACTAAGTAAACTGGGTTATAGATTCTAGGATTAATAAAGCAGATTGTTACAGCATAAGGATGCTGATCATAGATTAACACACAATGTAGACCACCTTTTTTCCCACAAAAATATAATTCTTAATTAAAGCCTCAAATATAACTATTTAATCAATCATTGATTACTTATATTGTATACAGATACAAAGGACATGACAGAGCAGAATTTTAATAAAAGTAAATAACTAATTATAAAATAAGGACCTTATTTAATTAACATCAATTTTTATCTATCACTGCTTACCTAACAACTCCTGTTCAGTGTAGCATTCTAGGAATCAAAAAATCAAAAGCCATAGGCCATTGCAAAGCACCCCAGGGTTAGCAGCCTTAACAGGAATTCTAACTGCCCCAGACAAAAATGTCAGAGTTGACCTCTTTATACTGGGCAATGAGTAAAATGTTCTCTCTCTCCATCAGGAGGAAAAGACCTGGGATGTCCTCAGGGTGGCCCACCTGTTGTTCCTGGTATCCTCACACAAAAATCCTAGCTTCTGGAAAAGCTAATTTCCCTTAATGCAATCAATGTTATCTGATAATTGTCCTATATGCTTCATTTTATAATTTCCAAAAGATGAGTGGACTGCCAAAAACCATTTTCTCTTGTTTAGATACTTTTTAAAAATGTGAACAAACAGCACTGAAGAACATACAATACTATTATTACCTGGAAAGTTTGGTCACATCCACCAACATGCACTTTATTCACAAAAATATTGGGCACGGTTTTCTGATTAGTGATTTCTAACAGCACTTCTTGAATCTTGGCCCCATCATCTAAAGAAGAAAAAACTATATATAAAAATACTGAAACAAGTTCCAAATCTTTGTGAGTTAAACTAAAGTGTTACAACACTCAAATGTTCACATGTAAATACCCGTAATAGGTGAGTGTGTTATATAACTTTATGAAATGAGAACTCAAGGGGAAAACATCCATGCTTGCCAAGAAAATCTTCAAAAATAAAGATCTACTAATTCATTTAAGATAAACGCTTCAAAATTAGATTTTGATATATTATTCAGTGACTATGCCAAGACAAACAGATAAAAGTCATCTTTAAAGAGCAAATATTAAGATAAAATCTGCTGTAACAATAATAACTCAGAAAATACTTCTTACAATTACATTTTAAAATGTTCACGATCATGGTCCAAAATTTTTCTTCCACCCCTAAAAATAAAACTGGTCCATGACTACTTAAGACTACCTTATTAGTACACACTTTAGAAAGTCTCCAAGATTCAAGAGCATTTCATTCATTAAGGTAACTTGGTTAAAATGAGTCACTGAGGTTCTATGAAGGCAGAAATCAAACTTTTTCTGTTCATTACCGTACCCTCACCCCTGAAAAGCTCCTTATGTGTAAAGTGCTCAACTAATATTAGATACATGAATGCCAAGAATTCAAAAGTATAAAGCTAAAAACTTAATATACTCTCTCCCTGGTGGATGACACAGCCAGGAAATGGAAGTGGATTCTTTTCATTTGTTACAGCTTAATCTATTCTGCTAGAGAGCTGGTGGATACAGCTGAAATGCCTCAAGTACTTCAAAGGGAGCAGCTTATATATCTTCCCCTTACTCCCTTCCCTCAAATATGGAAAATATATAAATAAAAAACCTACACCAACTTATCTGCCACATAAGGGTTCATTTTCTGCATGGCTGAATGTAGACAAAAATGCCTCATCTAATCTGGAGACAAGAATAATTTGAATTGAACGAAGTAAATGGAAAGAAGTCAATCTTGTTGGCATTTATCATAAACAACACTGTATAGTAACTGGTCTACTTACCAACTTGATCAAGTTCCAAGACATAACATTCAGTTCCCAAAGAAGAAAAGAGTTCTTTCACCTGAAACAAAAATTAAGCTAAGTTTCACTCTCACAAAAGATGCAACAGCTGTGAAATATGAACATAGTAATGAGAGACGTCAAAAATAAATGTTCTGGAGGAAGAGGAGTTCTAGCCAATGGGTGGTTTTCATTTTTTTTTTTTTTAATTTTCCTTTCCTCTACACATTTTCCCAGAATAATCTCAGGCCACCCCTTGCCTCCTTTTTACTGTCTCCTTATGACTTTCAAATCTACAACTTTCCCCCAAATCTCTTTTTTGAATTCAAGATAGACAGTATCTATTTTCCACCTGTGTGTTCCACGGGCATCTCACAGGCAACATATCCACAATGCTACTCTTCTCCTTCCATGTACCATTTCCTCTTCCTGTGTTTCCTTTCAATAGTCATTAAATCATTAAACAAATTTTTATCTGTCAAACACTTTGAATACATCTGTCCTTAGAAATATGATATGATTCATTACAGGGAACAGTCAGCAATGAAAATTAATGAATCCAAGCTACAGACACTAACATGCATGAATCTCTGAAACATAACTGTTGAGGAAGAAAACTGCAGAAGAATACATATGTATGTATGGTTCTATTTATATCAAGTCCCAAAACAGGCCAAAATGAACCAAATATTGATTAATAATGTATATGTATTTGGTTAAAATGTAAAAAGAAGAAATTTTGCATCACAGTGGTTAATCCTGAGGGAGAGAGGAGACAGCCAAGGAAGCTTCTACAGTAACTAGTGTCACTTTATTTATTCTTAAAAATGTATTTGCGTAATATACATGTTTTAAGAAACTATACACATAAACTTCAAATGTATTTAAAAAACACAGCCGATAATTTCACGAACTCAACCCAATAGTTTATGCTTTCGCATACAGTCTTCCACATATCATTGTTTAAACTTTCTGTAAAATGAAGTAAATTCTTCAAGGTTAAAAGTCCTTACACGTAGGTTGTCCCCGCAAAGGCTCGTTTCTAAGTGAAGTATTTTTATTTTTATTTTTATTTTTTTATTTTTATTTATTTATTTTTTTTTGAGACAGAGTTTCACTGGTTACCCAGGCTGGAGTGCAATGGCACGATCTCGGCTCACCGCAACCTCCGCCTCCTGGGTTCAGGCAATTCTCCTGCCTCAGCCTCCTGAGTAGCTGGGATTACAGGCACACGCCACCATGCCCTGCTAATTTTTTGTATCTTTAGTAGAGACGGGGTTTCACCATGTTGACCGGGATGGTCTCGATCTCTTGACCTCGTGATCCACCCGCCTCGGCCTCCCAAAGTGCTGGGATTACAGGCTTGAGCCACCGCGCCCGGCGAAGTATTTTTAAATTCAGAATACATCTGTCCTTAGAAATAACGCCGGATTCCTAGCCCGCCCCAAAAAGTTAAGGCAGTGTGCAACGAAGCTGAAATCGGCTCAGCCATCCTACAACCCTCCAGTACCTTCGTTTCACAAGACGGCAGAACCGAGGCTCGGCACGGGGTCCTAACCCGGGTCGAGGTCACGCAATTAGGAGTGTTTCTATTTCGATAAACTCTCACAAGCCCACCTCAGGGGAAGGCCGGGGAGAGGAGAGGACGGGCGACTGACACCGTCGCCCCAGCCGGCCCGCGGGCGCCCCGGCCCGGCCCCTCCCTGCCCGGGGTGGCGTCCGCCTGGCGGGCCGGGTCGCGCCTACCCGCGTGCTGTGGGGACAGTAGCTCTTGCTGAAGATCACCACCCGGCTGCGCTCGATGAGGCCCAGCAGGCGGCGGCGCAGCTCCTCGCGGGCCTCGGAAGAGCTGCCGGGCCCGGGGGACCCCAGGCGTGCGCGGCGCCCGGGCGGCGACGCCATGCGCGCGCCGCGGACGTGGCCCGGTCGGCGGTTGGGGGCATCGCCTGCCTTTCCTCGCCCCGGCGACTTCGGCGACTTCGGCGGCGGCCGCGGCGACTGCTCCAGGGTTTCGCTCTCGCTCCCGGCCTGGCCGGGTCCGCTCACAAACCGAAACGCAGAAGGCGGCGGCTCCTGGCCCCGGGCGGAGGTGTGGCGAACGGCCGCCCCTGCTGCCCACGCTCCACACGCGCGGGAATCCGCAAGGCCGCTGCTCGCCCCGCCCCCGCCCCAGCTCGCCCCGCCCCCGCCCCAGCTCCGACCCCGCCCCCGGCACCGCCCCGCGCATGCGAACTGGGCTACCCGGCCGCCCACCGCGCAGGTGTCCTGTCACCTGCCCTTCGCAAAGGGGCGGGTACCAAACGCGAGCCTCTTTATCTCCAGGTTGTGCGCGCGTCCAGATATCACCCAGTCTTGGCGATGCCGCTCGGAGATGGCCTTTGTGCAATGTCGTTTAATCCTAATAATCCCCAACAGCCCCTTTAAACCACCTTAAAATCTACGTTCTTCATTTTTTATGGGAAGTGTGAATATGAAAGATTGATATTTTTAAAAGTTTAGGTCACACAAACTAAATAAATATATTGCGTTTGCTATTGCAATGCAGCTTTAAGATGAGTTTCCTAGGTTGCTACCCGTCCGTTCCCTTCTAACATAGAATTCCGGAGCCGCCTCTAACAAAGGGACCCCGAAACCTCAAGAACAGGAATCATCTGTCCATTTCGGTGGGTGGGTGGGAGATCTTGGAGCTGAACCTGCCTGCAGTGACTTACAGCCCCCTTCACCACAGTAGGTGAATAAAACCCCAAAAAAGAGAGACACCCAAGCACAGGACCAGCAGGTGTGAACCAGTTCCTGCCTACCTCTAGGTTGTCATCCCCTAACAAAGTGTCCCTCGGGTTCATTCAGCTTCAGCTACGCGGGTTTTCTCCCTGTGCCTCAGACGCGTCAAAACCATTCCTGCCTTAGGGTCTTTACATCTTTAGCTTTTTCAGTCTAGGATGCTGTCTCCTGCAATGGACTGAATGTTTCTATCACCCAGATTTCATATGTTGAAACTCTCATCCTAATATAATGATATTTGAAAGTTAAGACTTTTAGGAGATAATTAGGTCATGAGGGTGGGTCTTTGAGAGTGGGAATAGTACCAGTAATTAGTATCACTAAGAAGAGGCCAGAGAGCTAGCTCACTGTCCACCATGTGAGAACACAATGAGACCTTCAGCCGGAATTGGCAAGCGGACCCTCATCAGAAGCAACATGCTGACACCCTGATCTCAGACTTCCAGCATCCAGAACTCTGAGAAATAAAATTCTGTTGTTCATAAGACACCCCGTCTGTAGCACTTTGTTATAACGATCCCAATAGACCAACACCTGCTCCAGCAAGTCTGGCTCCTTGTTGCCAACTATTGGCTTAAACGTTACCTCCTTAGAGTACCTTGTGCCCCTAATTTCCATCATTTCACACATATTCTAGTCCATTCATGACACATGCACTATTTTCAACAACCTCTTATAATTTCTGGTTTCCTTGCTTGCTGCCTGCCCTATCCCTGCCTCCGTCACCTCAACTGGAATGTGAGTTCCATGAGAAAAGGGCCTCATCACTCTGGTGCACAGCTGTAGCCCCAGAGTTTACCACAGTGCCTGGCTAATAGAAGGCACGCAATATAGTTTTACTGAATGAATGAACGAGTGATCCACAACTTACCAGAACATATATTACCGTAATTTGCTTCTCCTCTTGTCCTGATATGACAGGATGGGATCTCAAATTCCTCCTCTTCCTACTCTGTTCATCCAGGGAGCCGCAAGTCCAGGAGGTGGAGTACAGATCACAATGTTCAGGGACTGCCTCCTGCAGCTCCTCTTTCCCTGGGCCCATGTAGCCTATTTCATGCCTTGACTCCACAAGTACTTCCTTAACACCTCAATCTGTGCTAAGTGTTAGAGAATAAGCACAGGAAAGATAGTACTTATCTTCAGGAGATCAGAGCCCTTGGAGGAGAGATGTCAAAAACAAGGAATGCAAATTGGCAAGTAGTTCTAAAGAGAGGAATAATACTAGAGCTGGAACTGAAGAACTGTTGGCCCAGATGATAGGCACTGGAAGAGGGAGGCAGCCCAGCTGGACCACAGAAGCAAGGGGAAGCCTGATGCATTTGGGGGAAATGCTGGAGGATCCAAAAATGAGCAGAGGCAAGGAGAAATGAATGCTGTTGAAGTGAGCAGGGGCCAGGTGGCTGCGATCTAGTCGACGCTGTCTGGAAGATCTCTAAGAAGGAAAAGGGGGCCGGGCGCGGTGGCTCAAGCCTGTAATCCCAGCACTTTGGGAGGCCGAGGCGGGTGGATCACGAGGTCAAGAGATCGAGACCATCCTGGTCAACATGGTGAAACCCCGTCTCTACTAAAGGTGCAAAAAATTAGATGGGCGTGGTGGCGCGTGCCTGTAATCCCAGCTACTCCGGAGGCTGAGGCAGGAGAATTGCCTGAACCCAGGAGGCGGAGGTTGCGGTGAGCCGAGATCGCGCCATTGCACTCCAGCCTGGGTAACAAGAGCGAAACTCCGTCTCAAAAAAAAAAAAAAAAAAAAAAAAGAAGGAAAAGGGAACGTGAGACAATGACTTCAGGCAGCATAAAGATGGCTTTTCTATTAGCCTGAGCAGAACTCAGAGTTTGCAAGAACTGAAAAAGCAAGGAAACAGAACAAGAAAAATGTCCCCTTTATCCTTCTATTTTTATTTATATTCTTTTAGACAGTCTTCTACTGGGACTCTGGACTCCCTGGCAGAGATCAAAGACAGAGTGGTCAGCTTGGCCTAGCTTCTGAGAGGGCTACCTCTGATGTCGGGTGGGGAGGTAGTCTCCAGAGCAGGAATGCCTTCCCTGGGCTCATATCCTTGCAGGGGAGGAGATGGCCATCCTCCCCTCAGAGCCTCCTTCACTGCAGCCTGAGGTGGGGGTGAGTGACCTGGAGGATCCGTGCTCCAAGGGGAAAACCTCTGGGCTCTGGCTTAGCCCCACCCTGGGGAAACACTCATAGCCCCTCCAGAGAGAGCCCTGCTGCAGGAAGACTCTAGGGCAGGGCCCAGCTGCAATGCTGGCAAAGGTCTAGATTACCCTGCAAGTCAAAGGAAGCCTGCACATGAGGGGCTTTGGACATTTGCCCTCACATTTACAGAAAATGTATAGTTGCAGAATGTTATTGAAATTCATGCTTCCTTTCTGAGGCCATGCTTCTCCTTCCTGGAGATTATAACTCAGCCACACCTTTGTGCAAAGGAATGTGAGGCACTTTTTTCTACAGAGTCTAAAGATTAAAGGAGTCCCGGTGATTCAGGATGCACTCCAGAGGAATGTAGGCTGAAGATGACTGGTTACCATCTGAAAAAGGAGACAGAGGAGGAAAAAGGCTTTTTTTTTTCTCTCTCTCTCCAGAGTCTGATGGTCAAAGGGTCCCAGTGATTCAGGATGCACTCACCTACATGCTGCCTAAGCCTCCCACTGTCAGTAACCTCTCAGTTCCCTAGATCTCATCTATGCCATGACCTCCACCCATTAAGTGGGAGGGCCTAATTGGCAGGAATTAGTCATGCTCACCTGCACTCTGCCCCTAGACTTTTGCTGTCATCTGCCTCTGGGCCCCTTAGAGCTAGTTTTCCTTTCTAGGGCTTCAAACCAAATCTTGGGACAAAAAGGTGTCTCAGGAGGGTATATGGATCCGTTAAATTAGTCCCAGGTGGCCCTCACCAAATTGCAGCCAGCAACTGGCAGGGCAGCCCCTCTGTTGCTTCCCTACCATAAACAGGTGAAGCTGTGGGACCAGGTCCTCCTCAAACAAGGGAGATAAAGGGAATTCTGGGAACTGGGGACTTTGCCTAACAAGGTGCCTCCCAAGAGGAAAAAATAAGTAGAAATGCTCCCTATATTTGCAGGACTTTATTGACTCCTGACTTGGTGAAGGAAAGAGAAAAAAAGCAACAACATAAATGCAGAGGAGGGGAAGGTGCCTGGGGAGAAAGCCTCTTGCCCTGTGCATGTGGGATACTCTCAACAGGGGAAAGAAAACTCTCAACAGTTAGATCTTCCTTGCTTCTAAGAATAGGCAGATACCACTTTCTCCGGATTTACATTCCTGATGACTAAGCCAAATGCTCATTCTACCCTGTAATATTTTTGTCTGTGGTTTGCAACGAACACCCTTAACATTGTGTATAAAGAAGAGGGTAGCAGCTGGGGCAATTGTGAAAGAAAGTGTGATAGGTAAGACCGGGGGTCCTAGTGCCCACACCCTCATGGGCAGTTAGGAACTGGCGTTAGTCCAGGAGCCTTTGGATAGCGTGGAGGTGTGCCCTCAGCTGGATACCCTCCACTGCCCCAGGACCTCCTTCCAATCCCATGCAATGGCTAGACCTCTGTGAAGGGAAATTGAATTGGAACATTGCCAACATCCGAGGGTGACAGGAGATTGAAGTGTCCTCCCCAGCAAGCCAGTCCACTGTGTCTTAAGTCTGGTAGCCATGCTAATTGCTTTTAACTGGCCAACAGAGGCTCCATGTTTTTCTTTCATTTTGGATATTGTAGAATTTAGGGACTCTGATAAAAGGACAAAAAGCAGAAAGTCTGCTTTTACTCACCCTTCCCAGATAAGCCCCCTCAAAGTGCCACAGGATCCTTTTCCAGCTGTAAACCTTTGTGGCTGTCCACAACTTTGCCCAAGTTTTGCTCGGCTACTGGATTCATTCCATACCCTCAGCCCAGCAGGCTGCATTCAGCTCACACCACCAGCCCAGATCCCACACCTGCCAAGAGTGAGTCAGGCTTGGAGTGGGGAGGGGCATGTGAGTGAGCACATGTGGGATCTTGCCACTGCATACAGCCAGACACACCGGCTGCTGTGGTGGGGCATATAGCTCCAGGCACCAGCTCTGTGCAAGGCTGTGGCTGGATCAGATTACTGCAAGTGGCTTCTTTTGCAGGAACCTGCATCTGTACAAGGGGAACTCCGTGGTACCCAGAAGTTTGAAGATGCCTGGAACTGCAGAGCCCCAAAGAGATTATCACAGGCCTGGCTTAGGGAGCCCCTACATCTGGGCTCCCCAAAGGGCAGCAGCTCTTCTCTCCTTCTCATTGCCCACAGTGTGGTGAGTAGGAGCATGTGTTTCAGCCCTATCTGTGTTACAAATCTTTCAGTC